CGGGCGTTGGTTTTACAAGGAAAGAAATTGCATGTATTATTCTCTTTTTGGATTCAATCTTTGGTGTGGCTCTTGAGTAGAGAGAGAAAGAGAAGGAGAGGAGAGAGAGAGAGAGAAAGAGTTATTTCTTGTAAGTCGATGTGATCAACGGTGTAATTCCTTGAAGTAATAAAATTTTCTATAGCTCCGAGGACGTAGGCAATTTGCCGAACCACGTAAATTTGTGTCTCTTTTTGGTTTATTCTTTTTTTATCCCAATTTATCTTCAGTTTTCGTCGTCATTTTTTCACAATAACTAATATCAGAGATCAGGTTTGAATCTGAAAAGCGATGGCCGGAGATGATGTGATGACATTGAGAATCGAGAAGTTTAATGACACAGATTTTGGTTACTAGCGGATGCAAATAGAGAACTACCTCTATGGGAAGAAATTTTATCTTCTGTTATTAGGAAAACGACCGGAAAAGATGTATTCCCTACCAGGGAATCAAACTTGGGTGCTGATAAAGCTTCGATCGGGGAAGAAGACATTGCACAATAAGTGTGTGTACCGGGTGAAAACTGCGCTTGATGACACTAAGAGGTACAAGGCTAGACTTGTTGAAAAAAGGCTTTCCGTAAAAGCAGAATATTGCCCATGCAGTGAAAATTGGAAGTAGAAACATGACTAACCAAAAAAGAAAACATCTTATTGCAAATATATAAATCAGTCCACTATTCAAATTGAAAGTTTCTAAAGTTTTGCAGCAAATTGGATTTGATACTCAAAATTAATTGTTAAATTAATTGCTCTTAATTCATTCATTAAAATCTTATACAGCTTTCTTTGCATGAATCCCACCATCCATGATTTGCTGCGGAAGAGAAAATGAAATAATCAATGAGCTTCATTAATTATTTTACTAATTCATTAATGAGTTTAATCGCATGATAGAATTAATAAATAGGCATGCTACAATTCCCCTTGTAATCTCTCTCAGGCTTTGGCTTTACAGGGAAATGAATTGCATGTATTATTCTCCCATTAGCTTCATTCTTCAGTGTGGCTCTCAGGTAGAGATAGAAAGAAAAGGAGAGGAGACAGAGAGAGAGAGTTCTTTCTTGCAAGTTGATGTGATCGAAGGTTTAATTCCTTGAAGTAACAAAATCCTCTGCAGCTTTGTGGGCGTAGACAATTTGCTGAACCACGTAAATCTGCGTGTATGTCTGTTCTTCTGGTTTGCGATTTTTCTCGATCCGATTTTTAGTTTTATTACTATCGTTTTTTCACAACAAAGAAACAACTATTTGAAATAGAAATTGCCGCTATGTTAGAATGAAGAAGATATTGTGTGTGGACACCACATGTTCGGACAACCAATCATGAAGGATGATGCAAATGCAAGTTCACGTGCATGATGACATGATTCCCCATGATTGCTTGTCTCTACATGCGATTGTATGTACATAATATTTTTTAGTAACAATGACATAAGTTGTTTTTTTTTTTAAAGATTTAATGTACATATCACACAATTTTTGTATATTTGCATATAAGACACCTAAACTTCAATCTTTATGTGAGGACATTTATATAGATATCTTCTAACTCCTACTTATTTTTATATCAAACACCTACATTTTGAATATCATCCAAATATTTCATTTCATATAAAAAAGGCTATTATTTTAAATAATAAAAAGTGAAATACATCTTTTATGCATGGATAAGGTGGCATATAAAAAAAAAGTTATGTTTAAATATTAGATATGTAATTACATGGAAATTGAGATGTAATTTAGGTGTTCAATCCAAATCTATTCTGTGAGTTATGCCCAATGATCAAAGCAGTAGGAATCAGAAAAGAGAGAGAGATAGAGGGACAGAGAGAGGAAAAACACAAACAGACTTGCCCCATCGTGGTGAACTGGGGTATTTCGGGACTCTATGACCATTTTATATGTCAAAAAGAGATATTTTAGAGATGAGAAGGAGGGTGGAGCTCCCTTTAAAGTGAGAGTCTATTTTTGAGAGCCAAAAAGCCCCATTATAAGTGTTGAACTCTCTATTTATAGAAGATAGAGGGCCACAAAGACCAAAATTACATTTTTTTTCTCCTATTTTAATGAGAGGGTTACAAGATATTTTGTTCTTTTCTTATTTGGTAACTGCTTTTAGCATCCTTTAAATTTTTGGATTCTCCGCCTGATATATATATATATATATATATATCTCGAAAT